TCTCTGTGATTGCGTTATGGATCGTGTTGCCCTTAGAAAAAAGTGCGGGCGTACAAAGAACACATATCAGAAGTGAAACTTCTTTGGAAAACTATTTTTGAAGTCATACTTCTTTAGGCGCGTTATGAAAAATTTATGAGAGTGAAATTTTACGATGCGCGCGAACCGTGACACAAAATTATCAGTATGGGCGCCGAGCGTGCGCGAGCGAGATGGTAATAAGACAATCTACAAGTAAAAAGAAATAGAATATGCGTGACGTTAGCAGCTATGCCAAGAATTTTGAATGACCATAATGACATTTGTAGTACCTTTTAAACAAAAATTAAAAAATTTAGCAATGCTTTTTCACAAAGACCTATGGTTACTTAGTTAAAAGGTTATGAAATATACCTAGTTATTAAATTGAATTAATAATATAATAAAATAATAATTATTAATAATATTAATTAATAATTGAATAATATACTAAATATTAATATTGTTAAATTATTAACGCTAAATATTTATTATTAATTATTTAATATTAAAAAAAAATAAAGAAAGCCAAAGAAGTATAACTTCTTACGCGCGTACATAAGTACACGCACCATTTTTTTTTTAAAGTCTTGTTCATGTTTATACAAATCTAAAACCACTTAAAACACGAGACGTTTTCCCTATCTCACTCTCCCTCTCGATCTTTCTCACTTGCTTGCTCCCTAGTTCCATGGCTATTTGCTTCATGCTACGTTCGCCCTTTCACTCTCTCTCAATCGGTCTCAATCGCTTTCTTTCTTTTCTTCGACAAAAACGCTACACATCTACGTGACTCTAATATTGTTATTATTGCGTTTCATCCGTAAACATTTTACCCTCATGCGCCTATACTAGAAGTTTTACTTCAAATAATCCTACACTATTATGTCATTCTTCGGTTTACATTTGACCCCTCTACTTATCCACGATACTTTTAGTTAGGTGCGGAAGCACTCACTATGTTTTGATACAGCGGAAACATGCTTACATGATCCATTAAATAATGTAAATTTTCTACCTCAACCACTCATTAAGAAGTTTTTTACTTTAATACCTTCCGGCGACAGCTTTATTAATTGTTTTAATATAATCCAAAATGTAATAATGATATTTGTAGTCTTTGAAGAGTTTTTATAGCAACAAATTGTGTAAAAACATGAAAATTTTATTCCTTAATTAAGTATAAATAATAAAATTAAAAATTTATTTATTCATTATAACAATGCATGATAATGTGTGCAATTTGGGAAACCTTTTAAGTAAAAAATAAGTTCACAAAATATAGGGACTTCTAAATAACATTTTATATATTATTTTGCATTTATAATAATATTTATTATAAATTATATTTTTAAACTTATAATCACGTAAATATATTTAATAATTTTATAAATTTAAGTGAGTAAGTAGCATTTATATTTAAAAAATAAAGAAGCACCCAAATATTATAGTAAAAATTCTTCAGTCTGTGATATATGTATTGCAAGTGTGAGCCTGGTGGTAAAGTGAGCGAATCTAAACTTTGAGATCGTGAATTCAAACCCTGACTGTGCTAAAACAAATGATTTATTTTATTTATTTCCACTTCGTTAAATACGTTACATTTATTGAAAAACAAATAACATAATACATAAGAATTATAAGGGATGCAACGGGCAGCCTTATCGCTAACAAGCAATCTCTTCCAGGCAACCCTAGTAAGGAAAAGAAATATGATAGGTAAAGTACAGAAAGCGCATAACCAAGTCTCATATGATTTATGTGCGTATCTGAATTCAAGTCTCATAAATCAGCGCTATCATACTATTATTTATATTAAATATATAATGTAAACGGAAATATATACATATCTTTCTTTGAGACATTCAAATAGAATTGTTTATCGTAACACCTATAAATAAATCATCTATAAAACAATCAATTAGTATTTATTATTGTTAATTATATTAAATTAAGCAAATAATCTAGCGACACCGTATATATTTTAATATTTAAAATCTGATTCAAAATGGCGACAACTATATACATAATTTAAACCTGAACAAAGTCTGTTATCTTTCTAAATAATTTATGTATTGTTCCTATCTTGTACTCCATCGAAATGATCGGTACAGTAGCTGTTGCGAACATAATATCTATTATTAATTTAGCATTAATCAATTTTAATTGGACGTACTTTTAATATTATCCGCAAACCTTGAAGGATAATTAAGAAATCAGTCAGAATGTTGAATATTGAACTTGTGTTATAATTAGCTTATCTGCTACTTTTAGGGGTCCAGTGAATAGGCTATCTCGCTCTTACAATTTAATTACTAACGTTAAGGAAATTATTGATATATTTTACATTTCTTCCTACTTACCGTAACTTTGTGTATCACGCTCTTAATGTTTCAAAGTTTCAAATTAAATTTAGTAATATTTTTTATTTTTTTGTTTTATTTTAATTGTTAATATAAACAAATCTAATTTGAAACTATGTATATCCTCGTGGTGAACAATTTTAATGTGAAGAGAAATGAAAATGTGAGAAAGTTCAAATGTTTATGAAAAATTCCGTCTATACATAATAAAAATAAATAAATAAATTTGGTCCCTGTGGCAGTGTATAACCTTTTAAACAACTGTGATTTTCATCATCACGACTACAAACTCACTAACAAAAGACCACCACAGTCTTTTGCTATACAATACTGCACCAAATTACGGTCAACGGTCAAAATCTTAAAAAGTATTTTATTCAAAAGTCGAGAACTCTTGAGATAAAAAGGTACTTGAATCATATGTTAAAAATAATATAAGTAAAAGACTAGAAAAAGATAAAAAAACAAAGGCTTATTATATTTTTTATAACTGTTTTTACCCAGAAAAAACAGATTATTGTTTCCTTTTTTTCTAGATCTAGGCCATAAAACAATCGACATTCATACGGGCGAAATACCGAGCACGGAATTTTCCACAACAATGCACTGTGAAAATTATCACGCAACACACAAATACTTCAATACAAGTGATACTTTTAGAAAAAATATATTTTGAAAACTGAAAACATACATCGACGCTAAAGTCGCTACGAGCTGCATCTTTTCATTATTTTTCTTTACTGATGAGTAGATCAGCCTTGTGTGCCAATACTGTGCCGTTCTTAGGTACAAAACATATTTTCCTTACGATATGTTTTTTACCATGTGGTCAAGCCTTATGGCACAGATAGAAATTTCTCAGCCGGGGATCGAACTGGAGGTATTAAATTCTACACGAGGATGTTCTATAGTTTTGCTTTAAAATGCCTGGAAAATACCCACAAGCTGCCCACAGAAGTATTTCCGAACCAATTCAACTTAGGGTCCTTCAAGAAAAGAGCGTACTGATTCTTAAAAGGCGGGCACCTCACTTGCGAGCTTCTGGCAATGTGGGTGTCCATGGGCGGTGGTATCACTCAACATCAGATGAGCCTCCTGCCCGTTTGCCTCTAAATTGTATAGAGAATTTTTAAAATACCAATAAGACAGCTGATCATAAACATCCGCCATCTTGCCTGTCACCCAGGGCCTGATTAACCCTTAGGCTAATTAGGCTGCAGCCTAGGGCGCAACGATCTAGGGGGGCGCAGCATTTGGTTTCTTAGGGAAACTGTATGAACTAGACGAAAGTAAATTTATTAGAAGCAAAGCAAAGCAGTAAAAACAACTATATGCCGATTTAGGAGAAACCTTTGCAGAAGAATGCGTCCATTTGGCGCAGTTATTAAAATCTGACACCGATTCTGCATTCTATTTATGCCAGAACCCTAAAGGGTTTGTTGCAGTCAGTATTTTTTTTTAAACTAAGCCAATAGTATTTCTATTCAGCCAAATATGATAAGGATTTGGTATTCTTCTTGGTAGCCTGTAGTCACTTGTCATGATTTTGGTCGTATAACGCGTGAAGTGCTTTTCTTTTGTGTTTGTAGGGGCGTGTCCCGATGAATAGCCTAGAGCGGTCAGAACCCTTGATCAGTCTTGCCTGTCACCCACTCAATGCTGAATCCGGTTTCTCGGTAAAAACATATTTAGATTATCATTAAAACTTTGAGAGGTGCTTATAGGAAAAGGAGCAAGTCTTATAACAAAAATGAAATATCTCTCTCGCGTTTATTTGTCACGGTGCTGGAGACGAAAGCTTAGAATACCGCTGAGTATTCATGTCTGAGAGCTGAGAGCTGGTGGAGATGGTGGTTGGTAACACAGGAAAACGATCACGTCCAACCAACTAAATGGACCAATCAAGTGAAAGACGTCCTCAAAACTATACACTATAAGAGAGGCGCTGGACAGAAATCGGTGGGAACAGATAGTTCGCTCCAGATGTTTCTTGCTGACCACGACGCTCATGAGCTGCGGACTGAAGAAAGAAAGTCACGTTTATTTAGTAAAACAAACATGTGTTAGAAGTTATACTTCTTTGATACAAAACTTTTCTAAATTTTTTATCTTTCGCTTTATTCTACGTTTGTAGATAAAACGACACTAACTAGAAAAAAGGTAATTACATTGAAAGATTTATTGTAACGCATTATCTAGTTAGATAAAGTTTATTTAAATACCTTTCACAAAAAAAAAATCTACAATATTAAAGAAATGGACATTTTTTATTTTGAAATGTTGACTTTGCTAACTTGAGGGTGTCGATTTTTTGTGTGAAAAATTTACTAGCCATCATTATAATGGTAATGAAAGTAATTATAAAACAACATTTGCGAAAAAATTTGTTTCTTACTGTGAGCTGTATGGTTGGATGAATATTAAACAAAGAAAGGGCGTGAAGAAATATATTCAAGTATATTCGGTGACATGAGGTCATTACCACCAAATAAAAGAATAAAACCCTCCTTACCTTAATTGTCTTATTTAATTGGCCCGAAACATGTTTTTCGACTTAATATAAACTGAAATTAATTCGCCGTGATTTTTATTCCGCGTCTCGCGGTGAACGCACGAAAAATGTTACTCGTGTTTTTCATAGGCTTTTTGACTTGTTGCAGTGCACTGTTTAGTAATTACTATGAGTCGTACACCGGAAAACGGATATCCGTTGAGGAATTCAAGGAACATGTGAAGAGGAATACGTCTTTGTAAGTAGATTTGTTAAGTGTCAAACGGTTAATGAATTTACAATTATTAGATATTGTCTGTACTATTTAAATTTTAAAAAATACAAGCTATTTTTCGGAATGAACAAATGAGTAACACTATTCAGCTACTCGTTATTGCAGGTCTGACAAAAAAATACTGTTATTTTTTTTAATATTTTTTTTTTAATTTTCGTGGATACGTCTTCAACGCTGGAGAATTTCTTGCCAGTTTTCGTTATTCATTCGCTCTTGATTGTCTGTAGAATGATTTTGATTTTCGACGTTCATAAGTGTACCATATATTAAATATTTCATTTTGACTAGGTCGTTCTGCTTCTTTCAAAGAAATCTAATCTAATATATAAAACTCTCGTGTCACAATGTTCGTTCCCATACTCCTCCGAAACGGCACGACCGATTCTTATTAAATTTTTATGCATATTCAGTAAGTGTGAGAATCGGACAACATCTATTGCATCTGTCGTCCCATGCCTAAATTTTTATTTTTCAGACCAAAGTTTTTCTTTTAATTTTTTTATGATAGGTACCTACAGCATACAAAAATACATAAAACCCTTTATTGTCACCCCTCTACGATCAACCCCTATTTTTTAATTGTTAATTTAAAACTTATGACTAGAATTCAGGAGTTTATATAGAGAAAAATTCACAGAAAAACCTAAAAAGTTTTCATTCCGGAAATCCAAACAGTTTCTAGGGTAGCATAGCAAAATGTTCCATGTTGGTATGTACTGTGCTAAGTAAAATCACATTCAGGAGAAACGAAGTTGGCGGGGGCAGCTAGTAGTTTATAAATTTCGATAATGCGTAGAAATATACTATATAGAACCAGCTGCCCACTGAAGTATTTCCGAACCAATTCAACTTAGGATTCATCAAGAAAAGAGCGTTCTAATTCTTAAAAGGCCGGCAACGTACTCGCGAGCCATATGACATTAAAAGTGTCTATAGGCTTACCTGATGCTAAAAGTATCACTTAACATCAGATGAACCTCCTGATCTTTTGCCCGATGTTCTATATGAAAAATAATAAAAAAAGTATACTAGTAATGCCCAGTTTAGACTTGTGTTAATTTGTCCACGGACTATTTAACACAACAAATATTTTTATTCAAACCTATGCTCAATGCAGTCAATCAACAAATAAAATTAAAAAAAAAAACTTAGCTTTATCATATTATTATCCGTGATAATCTACTGTCTAGTGGCTGGTGTGAGCGTACGACTCACAACTCTGAGGTCGTGTGTTTGAATCAAGGCTGCACCAATGAATCTTTCCGAAGGGGATGCCTATTAAAAATAATGATCATGAAACTGATACAGTTATAATGTAGGCTATAAGTTTTTAATAAGATTAAAATCTAATTGGCTACAAGGTTTTGTAAAAAATTCCTTTAACGAGAATTTCCGCCAATTAATTAATTTAAAGTGAATATTGTTTTATTCACTAATAATTATAAAATGCACTCACGATGTATGTAGGTATAGAGATAATACAAATAAATTAAAAAAAATTGTGGCGCTACAACCTTTTTAGGGCCTCAGACGTCTTCTGTTTCATGATCATTAAATTTGTCTAATAGGCAAGTAGGTGATTAGCCTTCCTGTACCTGACACACGCCGTCGAATTTTTGGGTCTAAGGTAAGCCGGTTTCCTCTCGATGTTTTCTGAACGAGCGAATGTTAAATGCGCACATATAAAGATAATCCATTGGTGAAGCCAGTAGTCGAACCTACGAACTCAGGGATGAGAAACACACGCTGACACTACTAGGCCAACACTGCTCTTATCTATAAAAATAAATTCATAAAATTTAATTAAAATTACGGAGACTTTTTATTGTTAGAATAGTTTTAGAACGTTTATTTAGTAAATCATAGTATATTAAATTCATCTTTACTAACATTATTTGAAAAGTTTTGTATATTTTTAACGAATAAGCTCAAAAACTGTATAGTGTCATACTTTTTAAAATTAGTTCAGTAGTTTATTACAAAATTAGCGCCGAACATAGGCTTTGTATATTTTCAACATTGTTTAATAAGTTAATCGGTGCATCCATTTACCACCAACCAATTTTTTAGGGTCCTTCAAGAATTCGCGCCAATTCTTAGGGTAGTTCTGAAAAGTAAACGAAACTTGTTATTTAGACACGATAAAAAACTGTGTTTTCAAGTCCTGAAAGTTATATTCTATTTGACGTTTGACGTTCATAGAAACGTATTATCTATGCCAAAAGAAGACAGTTGTACGATACGTGAAATTACGATTCTATTAGTTTTAATGAGATTATTACATAATATTGAAGTGGTTCGCTATTTCTGTGTAACTTAATTAACTTAACTATAACTTAATCTTATATTTAACAGCTCTCGAGAAAAGATTGTGATTTACAAAAAGGAATAGTATTAAATATCGTATTAAAATTCCTGAATGTTATACGAAGGACCTGGAGTAAAAAGCAAAATTACAAGCAAAAGCAAAATAATGTGCAGGAAATACGAGTAAAATTTAATTTTTAGTTCTAACATTTACTTAAGAATGATCTTAGACTATTAAATATACTAAATAAAAACTTCATTACACTTGCGTCCGCTATTATTACAGTTTTTAACTCCACACCGTCTTAATGGCATAAATTACATACGTTAATAACCTCCAGTTTTGTACGACAAAAACTTATTTAACATAATTATGATTGTGTGAAAGATTTGGGTTCTTTTCTTATGTTTCATATGGGCAAGCATTATGTGATAGCCAAGTTATTCCATAAACGTGACTTCTTCGACTTAAAGTCCCATAACCCCTAGATGGGGCAGAGGGCGTCCACAGTGAGTCTCCAACATCGGTCTTAAGCGTCGTATTTCACCTCGCTCCAAGTCTTTTTCGACTCTCTTTGCGTCATCTGCAACTGTACGACGTTTTGCTTGGGACGGCCACGATTCCGCTTTCCATGTGGGTTCCAAACAAGCGCCTGCTTGGAATCTCTTCGGAGTGTATGGCCTATCCATTTCCACTTGGGTCTCTTGATCTGCTGAATGAATAATCGGGGTTTCTAGGCAGTGCTCCCAAAGTGGCTCGTTAGAGATCTTTTTGGCCTGGTAAATACCCAGAATATAGCGAACACAGCGGTTGACAAAGACTTGAAGTCGATGCAAGAAGTCTTCCATAAACATAATGTTTGGTAAAATCTATAGTAATTTCAAAAGTCGTCAGAGAAGAGTAATTTCATGTGTTTTTAGAGGATACTGAGGTGTAATTATTATCTAAACAAATTATTTCTTAAAGAACATATTAATTGCAATCAAATATATAATGTTTAGGTCACTCAAAATAGTATAGATATACAAAATAATCACCAATAGAAAACCAAGCCTAACTTTCTTTGATAATTGTTATAGTTGGTGTACCAATGAGATCCTGCCATGTAACCCACACGAAGGTCGGAGGTTGGACGGGTCCTGTAACAACTTGAAGTACTTCACCATCGGTGCAAGTCATACACCACCATATAGGATGCTACCACCGTATTATAGTAAAGGTATATTGTAATAATAATAATTTATTTGTAAGAATATGCTACAAAAATGTTATGGTGGTACAACCTAAATTTCGCATATTTTGCCACACAAGGGCGTGCAAATTTGTCTCAAAAGGTTGAATAAAGTTACAATTACATTATGAGTCATATCAATTAGTCAATCGTTATATTATTTAAATATTAAAATATTTTATTACGTTATCAAATTAATATAAATTATAATATTTCACACAAATAATCATTATTAGAATACATTTTTATCAAAAGTAGTACATTATGTCGATTTTTAAAAACTCTGTACTGTAAAATAGCTCTACCAAGCTGTTAGCTTTGGGAGTGCAGGAAATCGCACATTTAACTTAACTTCAGTAGACCCAAATGGGCCAGCATTCTCCCATATTATCTCATAATATAAAAGTTTTTATTCACTTCCCACATTAATCCCACAAATAATCTTCTTACTAAAATTTTCTTAACGGTTATCATATTTAGCCATAAGTACTAGTCAATTAGGCCTGATAAATATTTGCGGAAAAAAATGTTTTTTTATACATATAATTGAGATAAAACCAGTGGCGCTATGTTTTTGGTCTGCCGTCCTCAGAGATCTGTTTCATGATCATTTGTCAATCTGACAGGTAGGTGATCAGCCTCCTGTGCCTGACACACGCCTTCGACTTTTTGGGTCTAAGGCAAGCCGGTTTACTCACGATGTTTCCCTTCACCGTACGAGCGAGTATTAAATGCGCACATAGACAGATCTTCCTCTGTTGCACAGCTGGGTATCGAACCTACGACCAGAGGGATGAGACGCTGAAGACACTAGATCAACACTGTTCCCTCTTGCATAGTTTTAAACGTTTACTACTGATAATTCGGCAGGACCTATGGGATTTGAGCCAAAATTAACTAAAGGCGGTGAAGAAATGCCGCTGCCTCGTGCAGTGCGAACCAGCGTGCTTCTAGAAGGACATATCCCAAACCTCGAGTTCACACACATGCTGACGCATTTCCTGGTATTCATTGTTGGCGATTTTGTTTCTCTGCAAGATACAGGTATTTTTGTGTAAAACACAATATTTTGTTTTTATAAATATAATCTTTATATGTTACACAAAGAATCGCCGCGCGTCGTTACTTTTTTTTTCATATAACTTGTAACATACGGTAACTATTTCTTGCATATATACATCATTACATAATCTTCGTTATTAAATATTTCGATTACAGAAAAATACTTAAATATCTTTAACAAAACAGATGTGCCTGTACAGCAACGGATCAAAGTTGAACAAATTTTGTTTTCAGTAACCTACATAATATGGAAGCCGTATTGCTGCTCTGAAAGAGGCAAGAAAGACTATGCCTGTGTCCCTAACTCCATTCCAAACGATGATCCGATACATCGCTTTTCCGACATTCGTTGCCTGAACATGACAAGGCCTGAATCTTTTCAATCGGCTGGCTGCACTCCGAACACCACTGTTCCTGAAAGAGTATGTTTTGTTTATATATCAACTAGTAATATTATAAACTAAGGTCCTTTAAAAGGCCGGCAACACACTTGCGATCCCTCTAGCAGTGAGTGTCTGTGGGTCACGGTATCACGTAACATCAGGTGAGCCTCCAGCTCGTTTGCCATTTTCTAATTTGTATCGCGCAGTTTACTAGTATGTTGGTGTTTCTTGACAGCTGTCAAATATTTATTAAAGTTCACCACATCGTGTATAATGCTATATCTACATTATATGTAACAAGCTATCTTTTCTAAAATACATGACAATTATGGTAAATATAAATTTTTATAGTACTATTTGTCTTTAGCCTTAAAATAGACTTCAGTTTTTGCGATTACCTCTCCATCAGACTTCGACTATGTATTTGCGTATTGTTCCCACGAGATTGTAAGTGCGTGCTCCTATGTCACCATGCCTCCTGCTGATAGAGGACTAACCTTTGTTTTTTTTTTTTTTAACCTTAATTTGTGTAAACATTTCAACAATTTACCTTAACCAAATTACCAAATCACCAAATTAACTTCACTAAACAATTATGTACATTTATTTGAATTATTCATTTTTGTGTAATCATAACAGTATTCTGATATTACCTTGATTAAAGGAAATCCAAATTAGTGGAATTTTACAGCTAATAACTTAATTAGTATTTATATACTTCATAATAATTATCAGTTGAGAAAACATTAATTACCCATTTTCTATCATATATCTTATCGTATAATTTATTTTATTTATGTATAAATCACAATTTTAGGTAAAATATTTTTCTGCTAAAATTGGGTTTTTAACTCTAATTTAATCTTAATTAAACATACATTTCATTAATTAATTGTCAGTAACAACAATATCAAGAGCTACGTTAGTAGAATTAGTAAGTAATAGAAAATATTAGATTTATGATTTATTAATTTCTCCCCGTCCAATATAACAATTATAAAAAAATAATTTTTAAATTTCAGGCCGTTTCTGGTACACCAGCTTTCGATCTTTCTCACGTATATGGCAGTAGCATGAAGGTACTAAACGAAAAAGGTAGAATGTTCCAGAAAGGTCTGCTCAAGTATGAAGTCGAAAATGGCAAAATATGGCCGCCGAGTACCAAAGGACCTAATTTATGTTACGCAAACCAACCGCCACGGGAAACGAGGTGCCACGATACACGTTAGTATATGTGTGTTACGAAACTATGTATTGGTTTATTTATTTCTTGAGTTTAAAACAGAGAGAAAATGTAGAGGAAGTAATGTTTTCTAAATGTGTCACAACTGAAAAGAAACCAATGGCTCTACAACCTCAGGGTAGGTTAGTAGGTAGGTAGTAGGTAACCCTAGGTATTCAGCCTCTTGTGCCTGACACACACCGTCGAATTTTTGAGTCTAAGGAAAGCCAGTTTCCTCACGATGTTTTCCTTCACCGTTCAAGCGAATGTTAATATTTTAATTTGATTTGAAGTAGGCCTAATTTTAATTAAGAGTACCGACTAGAGTATTTGGAGTCATTTAAGTTCCACAAACCCCTGCCTCATTGGTGCGGGGGGCAAATTTTTACCATTATATACATTGTTGCATTATACAGACATTATTTGTATTTTCCAGCTGAAGACGGGTTGAATACAATTCTTGGTGGTAACTTAATGGCTGTTTGGATCTGGCGATACCATAACGCAATCGCAACTGCTCTAGGTGGAGTAAATCCGTGCTGGGATGATGACCGACTCTTCTTCACTACCAGAGAAATCGTTATTGCGTCAATCATCCAGATATTTTACTATGAAGTACTGCCTTTGATCATGGGTGTGTATCAATAATTATTACTTGTTCTGCTAACGTAGGTTTTAAGATATTCTTCTAAGACTTTAAATAATTAATGGACTATATCATCTGATATTTAAAGGCCGGCAGTGCACTTGCGAGCCATCTGGCAATGTATCTGTGGCGGCATCAGTTAACATCATGTGAGCCTCCTGTCCGTTTGCCCCCTGATACAAAAAGACCTGATACATTTTTATGGTCAGATTTTCTTATCATTTCATGTATGTGTGCCGTATGTTGCATTCATGTGTATGTGAACAAAATTACCCTTGACGTTATTGATTTCAATACAATCGAGACATCGTGGTTTTAAATCCTCTCAACCAAATACCACGCACACAAACATGAACTGCCCGGGTCGACACAGCTAAAACTGCAGCAAAATTTAATAACTACAGGTCGAGAGAACCTTATCAACGATGGAGTGATTTCACCAGACTTAGGATTCCGAGATATATATGACGACAGCCTGGCTCCACAAATATCTATAGAATATCCGTTCACCTGGAGATGGATGCACACCGTACAAGAGGGGAATGTTAAGTAAGCTGAAAGTATTTATTAGAGATGAACTAATGTTCGGTAACTATCCGGTTCAAATTTTAAATCCAGCCGAATACTGGATATAAAATACCACATAAAGATTGAAATCACTATAGTTAGCATAATGATAATAATAATAATAAAGCCCGTTTTATTTCCAATCGTGACAAAAAAACAAATTATTATACACAGCTTAGATTATTTTATATTTTTATACATTTTATTTTCTTTTGCTTGTTATTCTATATTCTAGCTTCCTTCAGTACCATCGATCGGAACTCCTTCACGGGTAAAGGCCTCCTCCACTCTCTCTATGGCTCTCTTTCTCCATTCGTTTCCTGTTACCGCTTCTTATCTTCTATCCACCTTTTTTTGGGCGACCTCTTCTCCTTCTTCCTCTTGGACCTTTCCATACAGTTGTCTTTGAGGTGTATCTTGCTATATGCCCCGCTCATTGCCACTTCTGTTTTAGGGCATAATGTAAGGCATCTATAACGTTTGTTCTTCGTCTTATGTTTTCGTTTTTAATTTTATGTATTTTTCTTATTTTAAGTACCCTTCTTTCCATTGCTTTCTGCTACTAGTTTAGTTTTTATTTTTGTATTGTAAGTCCACGTTTGGCAGCCGTATGTGAGGGTAGGTAAAATACAAGTGTCCAAGACAATTTTCTTGAGGTGAAGAGGAAATTGACCTTTTAAGATTTCCTTCATGGACCAAAACTTTTTCCAGCTCATGTTAATTCGCCGCTCTACCTCAAGTTCTTCATTTTTATCTTCGAATGGTTATTGTTTACCAAGGTATATGTAGTTTTTACATATTCCAGAGGCTTTCCGTTAAGGTATACGGTAGTGCTTGTAGCAACCGCGCAGTTTGTGATTATTTTAGTTTTGTGCTCGTTCATTTTAAGACCTACTTTTACCTAGGCCTTCTATAGTTAGCATAGCGAATCACTAATTTGTAATTACAGAACAGAAAAATTAATACTCTTGTTATATAATTAATAAAAACTGCACTAGGAGCAAATTATGATGAATAAATACCAATTTCACTGCGTTAAACGGCAAGCGATGGTTTCGAAAGTACATGTATATACACTATACAGCCAGGCCAGGCCAGCTTCCGACAAGTCTTTCGCTATATATAATGCTGCAGGGCGCTGACAGGTAAACTTCGCTAAGCTTGGATATTGTACAGCATTAGCTGACCACGACTCGACTATGTTCGGCCGGAAATTTGGCTATCCGGTTTGAATGTTGGCCGAATTTTCGGTATTTGGTATCCGGCACAACTATCCGTTTCATCTCTAGTATTTATTATTTTTCCTTAGAGAGTTATACTAAGAGATAATAGATGCTGCACTTTAAACCAATTTAAAACAAGTAACATTTTCAACTGAAGCTATACATATATCTTCTAATTTCAAGATAACCGAGTGACTTTACACTTGATATATTGTAAGGTTTAATTCTAGAGATTACCACCGCCTAAACCTGAGTTTCCAAGTATTTGTAACTCTACGGTCCAGTTCTTTGCCAATGCATTCTTTATTAGCTATTCAATGTCCCAAATAATCAACTTGATCTTCGTTCGCGTTTATTGGCACTTCTATTGAATTTTTCATCGCTAAAGACTGAAGTCTTTGAGATATTCATTGATAGTCCTGCTTTAGCACTCCCCGCTCCGTTCTTGTAACATGCTTTCCAGTTGCCTAGGGTATTCTGAGAATACAACAATGTCGTCTGCGAAGAGCAAGTGAGATTTGGGCGATATATTTTACAGTACAAAGTACACATGTCAGAAGTGAAACTTCTTTGGCAAACTAATTTTTAGGTCTTTTTCATATTTATACAAATCTAAAACTTTAGATTTCCGAGACTTAGAGGGAGGGAAAAGGAAGATATGTTAGGAATTTAATTGTCATTATAATATTAAAAGTATTAAAAATTATTACAAATTATATTTTTTTTTCGATAGTAAAAACACGTGGCATTTTAATTAACAATTCGTCTTTTGAGACTTCAATAAATTGTTTTAAATAAAATATAAAATACAAATATTTGACATTCTCTTTACGAAATTTTAATTTTTTAAAATATAATTTCTATAAGGGTGAATCTCTTCTTACTCTCTCTCAATCGCTCTCTCCCTTTTCTTCGACCAAAAACGCTGCACATCTTCGTGACGTTCCGTAAAATTTTTACCCTCATGCGCCTAAAGTAGTTTCACTGCAATAATTATTTTATTTACAGACTTTACGATAGCAAAGGTTACCATTTAAATGATTTAAAATTGGTGAATATGACGTTGAGAACTGGTTATGTGGCGGAAAACATCGACGGCATCACTCAAGGGGCGATACGACAGCCGATGGCAAAGTTCGACAATGCTGTAGACTTTGACGTAAGTATTAGAATGACTCAAAAAGTTAATAAAACGATATATGGTGGTGTGTCTCTAATAAATGTACAATTATATTTTTTATATGCCCCTAAACGTATTTGTTTCATTGAAAACTAAATCAGAAACGATAGGAACTCAAATTTATCAACTTAGTCATCGTTTATAAAACACATTAATATATAACTGTATAAAATGATAAATCGGCTCCACATGGAGTAATGTTCTTACCTCTGTGCGGGAGCTTCCCAGTACCAGCTCCTACTACTCCAGCTCCACTAGACTGTATTCAACGAAGAGCGATTCTAATCATCAACGACCTGTAACTTTCCTTGCGGCTTGATCGCTTGGTGTTGCGATGTTGGGTCTCTCTGCATCTTCTTCCGCGTTTACCATTGAGAATGTTCAAATCACCTCGACATTCGTCGTTCCACAACTGAGCGTTTCATAAAGCAGTTTTTGCGACGAACCCCCACTATGTGGAACCAGCTGCCCACTGAAGTATTTCCGAACTTATTTCCGATCATTTCGACCTAGGATCCTTCAAGGAAAGAGAGTACCAATTTTTAAAAAGCCCGCAACGCACTTGCGTGCCATCTGGAATTGTGAGTGTCACATAAAATCAGATGAGCCTCCTGCCTGTTTCCTCCTGTTTAAATTAAACAGATTTAATTCGTTAAATTGTATAAATTTTTCATTTCATTTTAAAAATAAAGTCTGCAGCCTTCTAGACATTTCTGTATCATAACGATAAACTGCTAGTTTATATATGTAACGTATATATAATAAAATAAATATTTTTTTTTTGGAAGGACGGAAGCATTTGGATTTTCTAAATTTAACTTTTTTTATTAAATTTAAGATGGCAGAGGTAGTCCTGGGTCCACATCAGCGAGCGAGTGACGTGTTCACGAACGATTTAGCCAAAAATCGTTACTTCTTTCTTGCTCCATACATCAAGTATAGAGAATACTGCTTCGGTGAGAGAATTAGGAGCTTCGATGATTTAAGTCACGCGTTTGAACCTGAGGTACGTTACTTGGAGAAAGGTTGGTCCTTCACATTTTGTCTCTTGATACACCCAAAAACTATTTCAGCACAGATTTTGATTCAGTTCACCGATAGATATAATGATTTATGACAATAGTTGTTTGTGGCCTCAGATTTCTAAGTTCTCATAATGTTTTCATTCACCATACGTTAGTCAAATGTTCACATAGAATGAAAAGTCTATTGGTGCACAGTCAGGTTCGAACCTACGACCTCAGGGTGGGTTACACGTTCAAGCTAGAAGACCACAGCTCAGAAGACATAATATAAAAAAATTAAACGTTTATATTTCTTATGATCTTACTTGAATTTAATTTATTTGTGTACACCACACATAAATATTAGTATTTAGACATTATTACTTTACTGCATTATAGTGGACCCCACAGACGTTGTCCTGCATGATATTTAAAGCGATTAGGATATTAAGCAAAGTATGAAAGTACCGACTGCAGTGCCATCTGCCGTGCTGTGAATCTAAACCATCCACGGCTCCACCCAAACGTATACAAAAAAAACATTTTTATTCAAATCGGTCCAGCCGTTTAAGAGGAGTTCAGTGACATACACGCTCACAGAAGAATTATATATATAAAATATACCATCCTTATAACTTATAATTTGCGTACTAAAGTAAAGTAAAAAATCATTTAATCATGTAGGTAACATATTGTACACTTATGTTTGTCAAAGAAATACATATTAATGCTTCTAATTTTACATTTACTGCGAGTTCTCAAATCAAGGGCGTAGAACGGAAGAGAAGAACTGGCAATAAACTCTCCGCCACTCTTTTTAATCGCCATTGTTTTACACAACGTTTGAAAGAAGCTGCAACCATTACTCCATGTTTCACATGACATATCAAGTAATTAATAATTATAACATAAATTTAAAAAAAAACAAAGACTTGTCCTCATCAGCAGGAGGCATGGTGAAATGGGAGCACGCACTTACATTCTCGTGGGAACAACACGCAAACACATAGTCGAAATAAGCAACATCACCGCATTCACGAATTCAAGTACGACCAGTCACCACAAGCAGCACCCGTTCACGAGCATGACGCATGGCCAGCCATCGGTCCCCTCGCCATATTACATAGAGAGACAACCCGACGCATGAAATAGATAAATAGAAAAATAAATTTAAAAAATTATATGCTAATTATATACAGTATTTTTTTAATTCTGTATAATTTTTATTGGTAATCATAACAATCAAATATACAGTATTTACATTTTTTTATACTACATAGTAATAATAAAAATAATTAAAAACGAATAAAAAATTAAAAAGTTTGGTCCCTGTGGCAGTGTACGTTTAACGCTGTCAGAATTTCCTCGCAGTATTGCGAGACTTATTCGTTGAGCGAGGAAAGCACCAGCTCTGGGATCATATAATAATAATACTACATATATATTCAATTACTTAGTATGTCATTCCAAATAATTATTTTGAATTTATTTCAATAATATAAGAATTAAATACATTTTCAGAACAACAATTTAAGTATACCTTCTTACAGAGAATCGAACTTCTCAAAGAAAAGTACAAGGACGTGGAAGATATAGACCTGCTTGTTGGAATGTGGCTCGAAAAATACATTCCAGGTGGGACAGTTCCAGCGACATTCTATTGCATCATCGCTCATCAACAACTGCGTTCTGTTGTCTCTGACAGACATTGGTACGAACGACCCAACAGGCCTAACGCGTTCACTTTGGGTAAGGTTTTGTTTAGTTTGGTACAGTGGCGTTACAACTTTGATTTGATCTATTGCTATCTTGATTGTAAGTTCCTCGCAATATTGTCTATCTGGGCTGTACAGGGAGTATCCCTGACTAGTTTGACACTGGAACTTTGTATTGAACAATTAGTTCAAGTTGTTTTTTAACATTTTATCGTTATAGTCACATGATCTGCTAAGAATTTAAGAATGTCATAAAATAAACAAATTTTATATTAAAACCCATAATAGTTAAAAATGTAAAAAAATTAAGTCAAGAGCACCCATAGCCGTCAAACTATTAGAGGGAAGGAAGTGAGAGAAGATCCGTGACATGTGGAGGTGTTTGGAAAAGCGTGACTTATTATAATATAAATTACTAGCTGTCCCGGCAAACGTTGTTTTGTCATGTATATTATTTCCAGGAATCATTTTTTTAGTTCAATAAAAATATATCATCAACTATCACTTAAGGGTTTGAAAGATAGATAGTAGCCGATTCTCAGACTTACTGAATATCCATAACAAATTTCATAAGAATCGGTCGAGCCGTTTCGCAGGAAAAACGAGCGTTGTGACACGAGAATTTTATATATTTGAAGATAAATAAAAAAAGGGCCTAAAAATTCCCAATGTCCTGAGACAAAAGCGTTTCAACAATACCCACTAGTTTAGTTTATTTTATTTGTTCAATATTTCAGACCAATTATTGGAAATACGGAAATTCACAATAGCAGGACTTCTCTGCGCAGTTGGAGACTCTATCACGGAAGTACAGCCTAAAGCTTTCTTGAGAGCTGGACGAGGGTATGTTAGAAGTGTTTACGTCTCATTCTCAAACATATAAGTCAATTCTTTTAATGACTTTAGTAGGGGAATGTTTAGTTCTTTCAGGAGCCATCTTTATAAAATTTAATTAGAATTATGTAGATTAAAAGTATATAATTGCCATTTGAGTAATAACATTACCAAATTTGTTAGTCTAATTAAATTTCTCTTGAAGTGAAACAAGAATATGTGATTCTTTTTACGTACGGGCAGTTAGAACCAATATTGGTTGTAACGCTACTCTAAACAGATCTCTATCTGCCGTAAACGACGCTTTAAGTACATGCACCGCTGATCCATTTTATGATAGTCTCCATGTCTTTAGGCATTAGATGCTGCAGCTATTGTTCTGTCAGCCATAACAATTGCAAATATCTATCTAACTCTTAATTGCATATTTGATTTAATATTTGTATTTCTTAATCTAGTTTATTTATTTTATTGTATTATTTCTTTTCTTTTTATAATTGTAATGTTTCCCTTTAAATGTTGTGTGTTCTCTGTAAGTGTTTGTATGTGTTAGTGGACCTTTTTAAAATAAATCAATATATATAAGTTTATTTTTGGGATAATGTTCACTTGATACTCCAGTTTTATTTCCAGGAACGAGATGATTAACTGCAAAGACATCCAACAACTTAACATAATGGCATGGCGCGACTCCTCTTGCAGAAAAAATCCATTTGGATAAACTACGTAGCTTTTTTAATAAATACATTGATTATCAGTTCAACCGTCTTTTATTTTAATTGCCGAATTCCAAAAAAAAAAAAAAACTAATAAATTATCTGATATCTAAGTTTTCTGACTACTACGCCCATGTCTGAGCGTAGTGGTCAGAAAACGTCTGGAGTGGACAATCTGTTTCCACCGGTTTATGTCCAGCGGACCATGTGCTTACCACTACTTATCATCGCTTCTGCGCATTGTAAGTTTCACGGTCCACTGCACAAGACATTTTCTTTCGCGAACTAGCGAACTGTGCAATCGAATCCCGGAGGGGGTTTTCCCTGGGAGATCCAACCTCCAATTGTTTAAAAAAAGAGCATACTGCTCTCTCAAAGGCAAACTACGCACCCAATAAAAACGTAGTACATGAGCTGCGATAACTGCTCTCTACGGGCGTATCGTTTGACCCTTATGCCATAACAAAGAAGTTACTGAACATGGGTGCGGGTTGCTACACACCTGTATAAATGAAGCACCGAATTATAGGTAATAGGTATTTAGTTATGCCCAATTACTAGCATCAATTGAAACCAAAGGCTAGTTATTCAAACGACATACAGCATTTAAAATACTAATATAGTCAAAAGGGATGTATACAATCCAATTTTTATTAATCCACCAGAATTTTAATTTATCTTAATCTCTGAATTAATATTAAAACGATGAAACGGTCGACTAATTGGGACCGTTCCAAAGAAATTAATTAAAACGTTATTCAAATGAAAAGAGGATATGGTTTTTTGTTTTCTTAACCGACCGTGGAAAAAGATATTTCAAAGAAGAGTAATGTTAAAATTGTGCCTTAAGTGGTTTAAAAGAGTAGAAAAATCAGCATCACATCCAGTACAAAAGACTCCGTTACCAAGTAGATAAATGCGTCATTCTTAGATGGTTGTACTCGCCACTCGTATAGGCCCCGTTATTTAATGCACTTAAGTCTTAAATAGCAGTGTTCGCCTAGTGGCTTCATCGTGCGACTCTACTCCTCGAGGACGTAGGTTTGATCCCCAGCTGTGCACCAATCGACTTTCTATAGGCGCATTTAACATTCGCTCGAACGGTGAAGGAAAACATCGTGAGGAAACCGGCATGCCTTTGACCCAAAAAGTCGAGTGCGTGTGTAAAGCACAGGCTGATCATCTACTACCTTACACCTACTCTTTTCTTGAAGGACCCTAAGTCCTTAAAGTGTACGACAAAAGTAATCCAAAATCTCTGGGTACGAAGAGGGGTGATGTGTGCATGTGTGATGTGAGTGATTAATTATTTCAATTTCTCAGCCGGGGATCGAACTGGACGTATGAAATTCCACTCGAGGATGTTCTATAGTGTATAGCTTTAAAATGCCTGGAAGATGCCCACCAGCTGCCCACAAAAGTATTTCCGAACCAATTCGACTTAGGGTCCCTCAAGAAAAGAGCGTACCGATTCTTAGGCTGGCACCACACTTGCGAGCCTTCTGGCAAAGTGAGTGTCCATGGGCAACATCAGGTGAGCCTCCTGCCCGTTTGCCTTCTATTACATAAAAATAGATATTTTATGCTTTTTGATTCCTTTTGTGTAAACAAACAGAAGAGTAAATGTATAGGTAAATAAAATGCCCTCTCTCTTTATCAAAATTCTTCACAATTAAATTCACATCTCTGTCGTATTTGTCACTGTGCTGGAAGTAAAAGACTCATCGTTCTCATCACTATACAAGACATAAGAGAGGCGCTGGACAGAAATCGGTGGGAACAGATTGTCCGCTCCAGATGTTTCTTGCTGACCAAGACGCTCAGACATGAGCTGCCGACTGAAGAAAGAAAGTCACGATTATTTAATAAAAAAATACACGCGTTAGAAGTTATACTTCTTTGGCGTAACAAGATCGAAATATTTTCAAAAATTTTATCTTTCGCCTTATTCTACGTTTGTAGAAAAACTAACAGTAGAAAAAAGGATACATTGAAAGTTTTATTATAACGCATTCTAGTTAGATATTTAAATATCACAAAAAAAATATTTCTACATAATTAAAGCAATGGACATTTTTTATTTTAAAATGTTGACTATGCTAACTTGAGGGTGTCGGTTTTTTGTGACAGTTCGCGGATGTCGGTTTTTTGTGAAAACTTTACTAGCCATCATTATATTGGTAATGAAAGTAATTATAAAACAACATTTGCGAAAAAAATTGTTTGTTACTGTGAGCTGTATGGTTGGATTAATATTAAACAAAAAAAGGCCGTGAAGAACTATATTCAAGTATATTCTTTTTTTCACTTTTCTTAATTATATATCAAATAAAAGAATAAACCCCTCCTTACCTTAATTGTGTAATTTAATTGGCCCGAATTAAGTTTTTCGACTTAATATAAACTGAAATTAATTCGCCGTGATTTTTATTCCGCGTCTCGCGGTGAACGCACGAAAAATGTTACTTGTGTTTTTCATAGGCTTTTTGACTTGTTGCAGTGCACTGTCTAGTAATTACTATGACTCGTACACCGGAAAAGGGATATCCGATGAGGAATTCAAGGAACATGTGAAGAGGAATACGTCTTTGTAAGTAGATTTGTTAAGTGTCAAACGGTTAATGAGCATTTTTAATTATTAGATACAAGTTATTTTTCGGAATAAACAAACGAGTCACACTGTATTCAGCTACTCGTTATTGCAGGTCTGACAAAAAATACCCTTTTCTTAATATAATAATTTTAAATTTAAGTAGTCTTCGTGGATACGTCTTCAACGGCGGAGAATTTCTTGCCAGTTTTCGTTCTTCATTCGCTCTTGATTGCCTGTAGAATCATTTTGATTTTCGACGTTCATAAGTGTACCATATATTAAATATTTCATTTTGACTAGGTATATGTCGTTCTGTTTCTTTCAAAGAAATCTAATAGATACATAAACTTCTCGTGTTCGTTCCCATACTCCTCCGAAACGGCTCGACCGATTCTCATGAATTTTTTAATGCATATTTAGTAACTCTGAGTATCGGCTACTATCAATCTTTCAGACCCCTAAATTTTCATTTTAGTTTTTAGATAAAAAAAATGTTATTATTTTTTTATGATACCGCATACAAAAATACATACAACCCTTAATGTTCACCCTTCTACGATGGACTCCTATTTTTTTTTGAAGTCTGAGGTTTTTATAGACAAAAATTCACAGAAAACCCTAAAAAGTTTTCATTCCAGAAAACTGAACAGTCTCTGGGGTAGCATAGCAAAATGTTCCATGCTGGTATGTACTAAAATTTAAAAAGGTAGGCTAAGGAAAATCACATTAAGGAGAAACGAAGTTCGCGGGGACAGCTAGTAGTTTATAAATGGACACAACAAATATTTTTATTAAAACCTATGCTTAGTGCGGTCAATCAACAAATAAAAAATAAAAAAAACTTAGCATTATGATATTACTAGCAGACTCGGCCAAGCGTTGCTTTGGCTAAGATTTTTGTTATTATACATAGTAGTAAACTATTCAAGGCAAACGGTAGGAGAACACCAGTCATGGGGACCACCGTGCATTTTTGGTGCTTATGCCATTAAATTGTAGCTTATGTGAAACGTTGCTACTTTAAGACAGCGCCATACATGTTAGCCGTCATATTGTAACCGTCAAATAAATAATATTGCGGGTATAAATTGAGATGATTATATCCTATCTTTTAAGTTAGATCAAACTGCACACAGTGTGCAAATTTGATTGAATTCGGTTCGGTAGTTTAGGAGTCCATAGCGGACAAACAATGTGACGCGTAATTTATATAATATATATATTAAGATTATCCGTGATAATCTACAGTCTAGTGGCTGGCGTGAGCGTACGACTCATAACTCTGAGGTCGTGTGTTCGAATCAAGGCTGCACCAATGAATCTTTCGGAAGGGGATGCCTATTAAAAATAATGATCATGAAACTGATATAGTTATAATGTAGGGTATAAGTTTTTCATACCAATTATAAACGGTGAGGAATTGAATCTGGATGATACAACTGTATTTGTCGGAATCACCATGGATTCAAAACTTCAGTGGTCCCCTCATTATGCTAGTCACTTTAAATCGGTATTTTTGGCAGATCACCCGAAACTTATTCCAGAAACTGCCAATCGTAACCCAAAAGCATACTCTAATCATTTTGATATCAAAAATTTCGAAACAGAAGTTATTATGCGTAGTGTAAATAAACTAAAATCTAATACACCTCCGGGTCCAGATATGATTCCGGCTTATATAATTAAAGGACTGGCAGAATATTTAATATTGCCTATATCGCATATTTTCAATATTATTTTATATTCAGGGGTCTACCCAACGTTATGGAAGACATCCCGCGTGACCCCAGTTCCTAAAGCTGATTGTGGAAGCAGAGCTGAAAACTACAGGCCTATCGCGATTCTGTGTACGCTGGCGAAGGTGTTTGAAATGTCCTTACACTCGCTAATGTTGCCTAAATGCATTCCCCACATCACTCCTTGCCAGCACGCTTTTCTTCCACGCAGATCAGTTAATTCTAATCTATTGACTTTGGCTGACATAGTATCGCGTGAAATTGATAGGCGGTGTCAGGTGGATGTAGTATATTTGGATTTTCACAAAGCGTTTGATCGAGTAGACAACGACATTCTTCTCCAAAAGTTGGCCGCAATTGGGTGTGGACCTATTCTGCTTAAGTTTTTCTCTAGTTACCTATCAAATCGTAACCAATATGTTAAATATGGACAATATATCTCGCAGCCTTATCCAACAATTTCTGGTATTAGCCAGGGTTCAAACCTGGGACCGTTGCTATTTTTAATAATGATTAACGACCTTCCAAGCGTTATCAAATATTCCAAAATACTATTATTTGCTGACGACGTTAAGGTCTTTAAAATAGTTGAGACTGACAATGATCGTCTGTGTATGCAACTTGATTTGGATGAACTGCTGCATTGGAGTGAATTAAATAAACTCCAATTCAACTA